ATGCGCGTACACACCTTCATGCCGTGCCATGCGCGTACACACCTTCATGCCGTGCCATGCGCGTACACACCTTCATGCCGTGCCATGCGCGTACACACCTTCATGCCGTGCCATGCGCGTACACACCTTCATGCCGTGCCATGCGCGTACACACCTTCATGCCGTGCCATGCGCGTACACACCTTCATGCCGTGCCATGCGCGTACACACCTTCATGCCGTGCCATGCGCGTACACACCTTCATGCCGTGCCATGCGCGTACACACCTTCATGCCGTGCCATGCGCGTACACACCTTCATGCCGTGCCATGCGCGTACACACCTTCATGCCGTGCCATGCGCGTACACACCTTCATGCCGTGCCATGCGCGTACACACCTTCATGCCGTGCCATGCGCGTACACACCTTCATGCCGTGCCATGCGCGTACACACCTTCATGCCGTGCCATGCGCGTACACACCTTCATGCCGTGCCATGCGCGTACACACCTTCATGCCGTGCCATGCGCGTACACACCTTCATGCCGTGCCATGCGCGTACACACCTTCATGCCGTGCCATGCGCGTACACACCTTCATGCCGTGCCATGCGCGTACACACCTTCATGCCGTGCCATGCGCGTACACACCTTCATGCCGTGCCATGCGCGTACACACCTTCATGCCGTGCCATGCGCGTACACACCTTCATGCCGTGCCATGCGCGTACACACCTTCATGCCGTGCCATGCGCGTACACACCTTCATGCCGTGCCATGCGCGTACACACCTTCATGCCGTGCCATGCGCGTACACACCTTCATGCCGTGCCATGCGCGTACACACCTTCATGCCGTGCCATGCGCGTACACACCTTCATGCCGTGCCATGCGCGTACACACCTTCATGCCGTGCCATGCGCGTACACACCTTCATGCCGTGCCATGCGCGTACACACCTTCATGCCGTGCCATGCGCGTACACACCTTCATGCCGTGCCATGCGCGTACACACCTTCATGCCGTGCCATGCGCGTACACACCTTCATGCCGTGCCATGCGCGTACACACCTTCATGCCGTGCCATGCGCGTACACACCTTCATGCCGTGCCATGCGCGTACACACCTTCATGCCGTGCCATGCGCGTACACACCTTCATGCCGTGCCATGCGCGTACACACCTTCATGCCGTGCCATGCGCGTACACACCTTCATGCCGTGCCATGCGCGTACACACCTTCATGCCGTGCCATGCGCGTACACACCTTCATGCCGTGCCATGCGCGTACACACCTTCATGCCGTGCCATGCGCGTACACACCTTCATGCCGTGCCATGCGCGTACACACCTTCATGCCGTGCCATGCGCGTACACACCTTCATGCCGTGCCATGCGCGTACACACCTTCATGCCGTGCCATGCGCGTACACACCTTCATGCCGTGCCATGCGCGTACACACCTTCATGCCGTGCCATGCGCGTACACACCTTCATGCCGTGCCATGCGCGTACACACCTTCATGCCGTGCCATGCGCGTACACACCTTCATGCCGCGCCATGCGCGTACACACCTTCATGCCGTGCCATGCGCGTACACACCTTCATGCCGTGCCATGCGCGTACACACCTTCATGCCGTGCCATGCGCGTACACACCTTCATGCCGTGCCATGCGCGTACACACCTTCATGCCGTGCCATGCGCGTACACACCTTCATGCCGTGCCATGCGCGTACACACCTTCATGCCGTGCCATGCGCGTACACACCTTCATGCCGTGCCATGCGCGTACACACCTTCATGCCGTGCCATGCGCGTACACACCTTCATGCCGCGCCATGCGCGTACACACCTTCATGCCGTGCCATGCGCGTACACACCTTCATGCCGTGCCATGCGCGTACACACCTTCATGCCGTGCCATGCGCGTACACACCTTCATGCCGTGCCATGCGCGTACACACCTTCATGCCGTGCCATGCGCGTACACACCTTCATGCCGTGCCATGCGCGTACACACCTTCATGCCGTGCCATGCGCGTACACACCTTCATGCCGTGCCATGCGCGTACACACCTTCATGCCGTGCCATGCGCGTACACACCTTCATGCCGCGCCATGCGCGTACACACCTTCATGCCGTGCCATGCGCGTACACACCTTCATGCCGTGCCATGCGCGTACACACCTTCATGCCGTGCCATGCGCGTACACACCTTCATGCCGTGCCATGCGCGTACACACCTTCATGCCGTGCCATGCGCGTACACACCTTCATGCCGTGCCATGCGCGTACACACCTTCATGCCGTGCCATGCGCGTACACACCTTCATGCCGTGCCATGCGCGTACACACCTTCATGCCGTGCCATGCGCGTACACACCTTCATGCCGTGCCATGCGCGTACACACCTTCATGCCGTGCCATGCGCGTACACACCTTCATGCCGTGCCATGCGCGTACACACCTTCATGCCGTGCCATGCGCGTACACACCTTCATGCCGTGCCATGCGCGTACACACCTTCATGCCGTGCCATGCGCGTACACACCTTCATGCCGTGCCATGCGCGTACACACCTTCATGCCGTGCCATGCGCGTACACACCTTCATGCCGTGCCATGCGCGTACACACCTTCATGCCGTGCCATGCGCGTACACACCTTCATGCCGTGCCATGCGCGTACACACCTTCATGCCGTGCCATGCGCGTACACACCTTCATGCCGTGCCATGCGCGTACACACCTTCATGCCGTGCCATGCGCGTACACACCTTCATGCCGTGCCATGCGCGTACACACCTTCATGCCGTGCCATGCGCGTACACACCTTCATGCCGTGCCATGCGCGTACACACCTTCATGCCGTGCCATGCGCGTACACACCTTCATGCCGTGCCATGCGCGTACACACCTTCATGCCGTGCCATGCGCGTACACACCTTCATGCCGTGCCATGCGCGTACACACCTTCATGCCGTGCCATGCGCGTACACACCTTCATGCCGTGCCATGCGCGTACACACCTTCATGCCGTGCCATGCGCGTACACACCTTCATGCCGTGCCATGCGCGTACACACCTTCATGCCGTGCCATGCGCGTACACACCTTCATGCCGTGCCATGCGCGTACACACCTTCATGCCGTGCCATGCGCGTACACACCTTCATGCCGTGCCATGCGCGTACACACCTTCATGCCGTGCCATGCGCGTACACACCTTCATGCCGTGCCATGCGCGTACACACCTTCATGCCGTGCCATGCGCGTACACACCTTCATGCCGTGCCATGCGCGTACACACCTTCATGCCGTGCCATGCGCGTACACACCTTCATGCCGTGCCATGCGCGTACACACCTTCATGCCGTGCCATGCGCGTACACACCTTCATGCCGTGCCATGCGCGTACACACCTTCATGCCGTGCCATGCGCGTACACACCTTCATGCCGTGCCATGCGCGTACACACCTTCATGCCGTGCCATGCGCGTACACACCTTCATGCCGTGCCATGCGCGTACACACCTTCATGCCGTGCCATGCGCGTACACACCTTCATGCCGTGCCATGCGCGTACACACCTTCATGCCGTGCCATGCGCGTACACACCTTCATGCCGTGCCATGCGCGTACACACCTTCATGCCATGCCATGCCCGTACACACCTTCATGCCATGCCATGCCCGTACACACCTTCATGCCATGCCATGCCCGTACACACCTTCATGCCATGCCATGCCCGTACACACCTTCATGCCATGCCATGCCCGTACACACCTTCATGCCGTGCCATGCCCGTACACACCTTCATGCCATGCCATGCCCGTACACACCTTCATGCCATGCCATGCCCGTACACACCTTCATGCCATGCCATGCCCGTACACACCTTCATGCCATGCCATGCCCGTACACACCTTCATGCCATGCCATGCCCGTACACACCTTCATGCCGTGCCATGCCCGTACACACCTTCATGCCGTGCCATGCCCGTACACACCTTCATGCCATGCCATGCCCGTACACACCTTCATGCCATGCCATGCCCGTACACACCACCATGCCATGCCATGCCCGTACACACCTTCATGCCATGCCATGCCCGTACACACCTTCATGCCATGCCATGCCCGTACACACCTTCATGCCGTGCCATGCCCGTACACACCTTCATGCCATGCCATGCCCGTACACACCTTCATGCCATGCCATGCCCGTACACACCTTCATGCCATGCCATGCCCGTACACACCTTCATGCCATGCCATGCCCGTACACACCTTCATGCCATGCCATGCCCGTACACACCTTCATGCCATGCCATGCCCGTACACACCTTCATGCCATGCCATGCCCGTACACACCTTCATGCCATGCCATGCCCGTACACACCTTCATGCCATGCCATGCCCGTACACACCTTCATGCCATGCCATGCCCGTACACACCTTCATGCCGTGCCATGCCCGTACACACCTTCATGCCATGCCATGCCCGTACACACCTTCATGCCATGCCATGCCCGTACACACCTTCATGCCATGCCATGCCCGTACACACCTTCATGCCATGCCATGCCCGTACACACCTTCATGCCATGCCATGCCCGTACACACCTTCATGCCATGCCATGCCCGTACACACCTTCATGCCATGCCATGCCCGTACACACCTTCATGCCATGCCATGCCCGTACACACCTTCATGCCATGCCATGCCCGTACACACCTTCATGCCATGCCATGCCCGTACACACCTTCATGCCATGCCATGCCCGTACACACCTTCATGCCATGCCATGCCCGTACACACCTTCATGCCATGCGATGCGCGTACACACCTTCATGTCATGCCATGCCCGTACACACCTTCATGCCATGCCATGCGCGTACACACCTTCATGTCATGCCATCCCATGCTTGCAACCACCTCCCTTCACCTCCCTGCACATGCCCTGTCATGCTCCCACCACCCTGCCCTGCCATAGCACGCCATGCACGCACGGCTGACCTTGTTGCGCATGTCGTAGACATAGCTCTCTACGGCGTTCTTCTTCTCCTTCGTCTCCTCCATAACGCGGTCCTGCAGTGCCATCGCAAACTCCTCCTCCACGAGCTGCTGCAGCGCCGCAGGAGGCAGCCCCCCCACCAGGTGCGCCTCGATCGGCACGTCCGTCTTCTTCGTCTTCTTCTTCTTCACCATCTCCGGCTGCACAGAGGTTGAGTGCAGTGTGGGAAGGTGCAGGAGAAGAAGAGAAGGGGGAATGAGCAGCCAGAGGGTGAGTTGAGTCTGGGAGCCACGCTCTATAATTCACTCAGCAGCATGACGGATGCTATATGCTGTACCTTGGCTGGTTGAGCGGCATCATCCATCTTGGCATCGCCCTCCGCGCCACCAGCTGCAGCAGCAGCATCGGCCTCCATGGGAGCCCCAGCTGCATCTGTGGCTGCGGGGGCAGCAGCGGCGTCCTTGGCGTCCTTCTTGGCCGGCACCTCCACCTCCTCCTCCTCCAGCAGCTGCCCTCACATGGCCATGGCACGGAGAGGGGAGAGGGAAGCAACCTTGGTAAGACAAGGCACGTCGCGCAAACAACGAGTGCTTGATGAATGGACTCTGTGAATCCCTCTTTTGCTTCTGCGCAAAGTCTTTCTCTCTGTGTGGCACGTCTTAACTGCATTCAGCCTCAGCAAAGGTTTCTGCTTTGCTGCCTTGCTGCAATTAAAACATCAGCTGAAAAGGGAGGCAGGGCTGAGAATTCACCACCACCAAGGTGAGAGAAACAGCAACTCACCTTTCCATCCTCCACTTACAACACATACCCGGCCTTATTGGTTGCACCTGTAACCACGCAGCTCACATGCTACATACCGTTTTTTTACTCTCCTTTCTTTCTTCCTTTCCTTCTCATTTTCTGCCCCCTTTCCTCTTTCTCACGCTGTTCAAACGCACCATCCTAAGTGGCAGGGCAGCACTCACCGTGGCGGATTCGACGGACAGGATGCCGTGCAGGTTGAGTCTGATCTTCACCTTCAGCTTCGGCTTCGAATCCGGCCGCGACGGCGCGAACGGACCCACCTGCCATGCATGCACAGGGGGAGTGCGGGTGGAGGGGGTAAAAAGGGTTAGTTTAGGTTATTCAAACTTGACAAGGGATCCACTGATGAGAGTTTGCATCAAGGTTCTGACAGCCAGTGTGCATGTGACGGGCGGGGTGCTCCTCCCACCACACATGCCTTCGCGCCAAGCGTCGGACTCACGGTGAAGGTGCCGATGCGCGTGTTGGCGCCAACGGTCTGGTCCTCGGGGTTGGCATAGAAGGCGTCGATGGTGAACGCCTCCGTGCGGTAGAACGTCAGCAGCTTCGAGCTCGGCAGCGGGTTGTTCTTTGAGAACACCACCTGGTTCGGCTGCGCCGCCGCCTCCTCTCCGCCGCCCTCCGCGCCCTCCGCGGACGCCGCCCCCGCCGCGCTCGCTTGCTTCCATGATAGCGCGATGGCGAACGGGTACGTGTCGTGCACCTGCGCAGAGGGCGCGGGGGCGCGCGGGGATGGGCGCGGTGGGATGCGGGGGAGACAGGCGGGAGGAGAGAGCGAGGTGGAGGGAAGAAACGCGGAATTAAGGCATCGGCAGGCAGCGTCGCCTTGCACAGGCAGCGTTGGGCGGACGAGCGTGGGAAGCACGCACGCACCGTGCATCACGCACCGTGTATACGCCACGTGCCCTGCACCCAGCAACTCACGCAGCACCCGCGGCGAGGCGGCTCACCTCGAACTCGCGGACTTTGAAGGCGGGGCTGAGCATGGCGCACTGCAGCGCGCACCCGCGCGCCACGCACTCGCTGGCGTTCATGGTGCGGCGCGGCTCCTTGCCGAAGAAATCCGCGAGAATCTTCATGATGGCCGGCACGCGCGACCCCGACCCCACCAGCTCGACGGCTGCGATCTGATCGACGGTGATGCCCGACTCGAGCAGCGCGCGCGTGCACGGCGCCTTGACGCGCTCCAGCATGGGCTTCGCCAGCTGCTCGAACTGGTCGCGCTTCAGGAACCCCGTCACGTCCTTCTCCTCCATCAGACACTCCACCTGCACCACCGGGAGGAACGGGAGAGAGGAAGGGAGAAGAGGAGACGGGCGATTGGAAGTGTGAAGGAGGACACGCACAGTGGACGGGCGAGGGTTTGGGTAAGGGGGAGAGGGTCCAAGGATATGTTTTGAGAGACGTGCGAGGGGGTGGAGCAAGGGACACGTCGGTGATTCACGGGGGAATATGAAGTCAACAGAGAGAACACCGAGAGAAAGCCCTGTGCCATGCGACTCACGTGCAGCGGCGACTCGGGGTTGGCGCTGAGGACTTTCTTGAGCTTCTCGCACGCGGTGCGCAGGCGGAGGCACGCGCGCGCGTTGGAGCGGATGTCAAGCTTGTGGTTGCGCGCGCACTCGTCCACGAAGTGGTTGAACAGCACCTCGTCGAAGTCGCGCCCGCCCAGCGACCGGTCGAACGCGTGCGCCAGCACCTTCAGCTGGCCCTTCTTGAACGCCACAATCGACACCTGCATCGTCGAGTGCCCAATGTCCACGAATGCGATATTGAGCGGCTCGGTTTCCGACAGATCCGTCTTGTAGATTCCGTACGCCAGCGCGGTGGCCGTCGGCTCGTGCATTAGCCGAAGCGGGTGCAGCCCCGCGATGGTGGCAGCATCGAGATACGCGCGGCGCTGCGCGTCGGTGAGGTATACGGGGATGCCGATCACGCAATCCGTGATCTTCGACCCCAGGTCCTTCTCGCCGATCGCTTTTAATCCATTCAGAACCATCGCGAGAAGTTGGGTGGGCGTGAACGTCCTGGGCTCGTTCATGTACATGACGTGCACGAGAATATCGCCGTCGGGGCCTTCGGAGCAGCGGAACGGGAACATCGGGAGGTCCTTCTGGAACTCGGGATCTGCGAATTTCCGCCCGATCATGCGCTTGATCTGCGACACCGTGTTCTTAGGGTTCATCGTGTACGACGCCGCTCCTGCGACGCCCAGATATCGCTGCGATTCGCCGAAGCAGACGACATTGGGGGTCTCGCGGTTGGACTCCTCGTTAAGCGCGATGTCGATTCCGCGTTGTCGCGCAATGCCTACCACGCCCCTCTCGTTCCCCACATCGAAGCCGACCACGCTCATGGTGCTCTGCCGAAATTGAAGGCTAGGTCACGGCAGAACTCGGAAAACAAGGGATCAAACCAGGACGCACAAAATTAACTGCTAGTCTAGGAATAACGTGGTCGGATTTTAGTAATCACAGATCCTGAAGAAGCAGCTAGAAGAGATGAAAGAGATTTGTTTCAAAACAGCCTAACATCCGATCCAGCAAAAGCTGTCAGTGCCTTCGCGAACGTCGTGAATGTGAGTACTGTTTCTTCGCAAAACCTGTCTATTGCGCAGCGAAAGGTATGTACCATCTGTTCAACAGCAAGTAACGCATCGTGAGGACTTCGCTACGCCATTCACGTTCTAGAATGTCATCGTAACGAGACTTCGGGAACCTTCCTGGAGGTGGTTGTGACTGTGGACGACGAGAGCACGCCACGGCACTGCACCTGTCAGATTCTGCGGAACAGGCATGAGAAGATTCAGTGCTTCTGTAAAGGACACTTCGATATGTTTGTATCGGTATCTCACGCAAGGGCTGCATACACCGCTTTCAAACTAAATCCAGTGTGAGAAACTAAAAGGCCTCACCATACATCTAGCACCCAGTGTTGCATCGGACACAAGGTGGCAGAAAACGAACCGCGCAGTGTTGCATTTTCATACCTAACACAGCTCTATCATTACCAAACCTCTAGTTCATACCACTGAGTGGGAACACCGCTATTCTTTCCCAAGTACTCATAGTGAGGTCAGTGGGTTCAGTGCGGTAGAGTGCGAGCGATGAAACATGGAAGGAAGGAGATGGTAGCGATGCGGACTTGGGAGGGAGCAGGGATGAAAATGTCTCTTCAACCGCTGCTTTGGCGTCCTGCTTCTGGGCGTCTGAGAGATCACCATAAATGAGGCTGAGATGAGGCATGTATGCTGCACACACAGAACGCGAGGCCACGTAGAGGTGGGGGGTTGAGTTGGGGGTGATTGCGGGGGGAGTGGGTGGGGAGAAGAATGTGAGGGAACTTCTGTACTAATCAGGCGGTAACTGGAAGGGATATTGTTGCAACAAGCAGGACAAGCAGGCAAGTGAGAGACACATTCTCAACATGGTGTCGTGGCACAACAATATGCCAATCCATGTTCGTACCAGCAACGGAATTCCTGTCCATGCCCATCACTTCCACTGCCTCGTTGTGCACATGGAGCACCTGATAGCACCCAGCCATGGATCGTTGGTCAGAGAGAGGGAGGGAGGGCACAACAGGCAAGATGCAACGATGTTCCATCATGAACCAGCAAACTCAGCAGCAATCGTGTGAGCCAGAAGTCACACCAAGAATTTGATGTATGCATGTCACTCACCAGCAGAAGGGCACAAACTTTTTGAGAGAACAAGAGAACCGCATGGCTGAGCAGCACGAGAGCGCACCTCTTTTGAAGGCAGCATCTTGATGTACACGCATTGGAAGAAGAGCCGACCAGCAGCCAGCTCCATGACTTGGATGTCGTACGGCTTTAAGGACGCACTCAATCGCTCCATGCGCTTCACCACCTCCTGCTCGTCCAACCCCTCCCTCGCCCCAAACGCTCCTATCACCGTCACATGCGGCTCAAATGGCGTGCACTTGAACCTGCGGGACAGGTGCGGTAAGAAGAGCCTCAATTGTATCCTTCGGAATCAGACAAATCCCACAAAGTTGAACAAAGAGATTTTTCTTTCAAGATGACAAACCTGCTTGAGAGGTTCGAGATGGCTGCCGAAGCTGAGGTGTGGAATGCCGAGCCTTCTTCAGGCATGGCCCAGATGGAAAACTGATTCACCTTCGCTGACGTGGCACGAGCTGATGCGTTTCCTGGCTTATCCCGCAACGGATCAGCATCCATGGCTGACGTGGCAATGTCGGGGGAAGTGGAGGACGAGAGGCGCGAGAATGCGAGATAGGCGATGAGTAAGAATACTACCAGAATAAGGACGGAGCGCCTTTTATCGGCGTTGAGTGGTCTGAGGAGCGGTAGGTTGCGAAGGACAGTGCGCGATGACGGAGGGAGCGGCATTCGCGTGCAAGAAAAGGGTGCCAGCGAATGATAGAGCGTTCGCGAGACCATGCAACGTTGGGCTCTCCGGCACGTGACAATGAATCTGATCACCCAGTTTCAGACAGAAAACCGACGAGAACCAGAAGGGAACGGAATGTTGACCTGCTAGGAACGAGCATTGGCGTGGACGGAAAGTCGAACGACGGTTACGCGCGTTACACGGTGGGAAACGCGGGGAGACTGCTAATCGAGGGCATATGGCACCGCCGACTCCTTGAACGATGGGAGACGGAGGAATGCACGCAGACATGGAAGCAGTGAATGTGGAAGGCCAGAAAGGGTCGCGTGAAGCCAGTGATTAATTTTACAACTTGTTTAATTGAAGTCCATCGACATATCAGAGTGGCGCAGCGGAAGCGTGGTGGGCCCATAACCCACAGGTCCCAGGATCGAAACCTGGCTCTGATATTTTTCGGCGTGTGTTCCTTCAACCCCTCATGCTGAGTTGATTTCCTTCATTTTGGACAGCCTGATGAGGTTACCTATCTATGGGAACGTGCACCTCTGCCGCCCTTTTACGACCTAGATTGCAAGTGATCGTACCGTAACATTCTCCGAGCTCCTGGTCTCCATGTGTGTGGCAGCTGTTTTTGCCTTTGTGTTGCTAGCTACATCACCAACGCATAACGTATCAGGAAGGCATGCCAGTATTGGCATGTACCTTACATTTGTGGTCCATACCAATATCCAGGTCGTGCATTGATCCAGGACTATGGCGGCTGGGCCGTGGCCCGTGCACAAATGCAAACGGGGGCAGCTGATTTATTGTGGTTCAATATTTCTGCTGCTCTGACCAGCTGCATGTGTACCAAGGCTCGTGCCTGAGGGAATCATTGCTCAAAATCTTCCCTCAGACAGGTGAAGCCAATAGCTACCGTACTCTACAAAGCAAAAGACCTAGGGCCGAAGAGTGCCTCTTACAGAGGCAGGACAGCACCGGGCAGAACGGGATGAAGGAATCACGAAGGCTTTGCCTTGCGGTAGGCGGGCTTGCCCTTGAAGAGTGCCACCAGGTCGTCAAAGCCCTGTGGAGAATGGCAGTGAAGGGAGGATGCAGGCAGGGGACAGCTCCATTTCACAAGTTGAGGTTAAAACAACGGTTGACTTGTGCTGTGCGCGGAGTGTGCGGCGCACTGCGCATGTGAGACTGATGCTGGAGGCAAGAATGCACGGCTGTGATGTCACACGAGCATACCTTGGTGGCTGTATGGAGGATGACGAAGAGCGAGGAGAGGTAGATGGCCACTGCAAGGAACGTGACTAAATCGAAGGTGATGCTGGCCACCTGCACACACACGTGGATGCACAGGAGTGGGCGAACACAGAGAGGAACAGAGCAACAAGTCAGTGGACCAGGGAGGCAATGACATGAAGGCCTGAAAGATATTTTCTTAAAGGTCGGTGACTAGGATACGAGCACAACGCATGGTGCATGGTGGATGCACGAAGGTGCAGACATGAGACACAGCATGGTACCACGGCCCGCCCAATCCCACCTGGTAGACGTGCATCCGAGCATGCGGCGTGGAGTAGAGTGTGTAATGCGGGTCCAGCGCTGCTTTCCTCACCTCCACCTTGTCCGCATGCAATGCCAGCTCCTGCCACATGGGCATATATTCACACATGGGAGCATGGACCGGTGGGAAAAAGAGAGAGGCGGCCCTAGGAAGGATGCGAAAGAAGGTTCAAAATGGAAAGAGGGAGAGATGTTGCAGCCACAAGCCATTAAGTGCTGAGTAAACTGCAACGAGGAGAATGGTTTGACTTGTGTGGAGGACATTCGCTCACACAAGAGAGACCATCTTACCGCTTGGATGGCGGCAATTATTGGGTCGTCCTTGGCCAATAGCGGGGCGACACGTGGCGCGCGGGAGAGGAGGGAGAGCCAGTGAGAGAGGTAGGGGAGGCTGGGAGCGAGTGAGGAGTTGGGGGGGAAGAAGGCGATGGGGGGCGGGGCTGCCGCCGCTGCTCCCTCAGACGGACTGCCACTGGAAGTGCCGGCGCTGCTGCTGTTGAATATGTGGCTCTGGAGAGGAGAAATGGAAATGTAGATATACAGACATGAGAAAAGGGAAGAGGGTGGATGGGGACAAACAGAACCAAGGTGCTAAACGGTTCAGGTTGAGAGGAACAGGTAGAAGCTGGGTGTAGGTACAAGAACGAATGGGAGAGGGCATGAGAGAGTTGGTGGCCTCTCACCGCAATGGTTTCAGCAATGAGGCGCGTAGCAGCCAGCAACTGGTGCTCGTCCACTGATTCCCTGCAACAGCGGTGCACAGGCGTTCAAATACACATGTGCGGATTGACTTTTGAGTCGACTCAAAAGTCACCGCAATGGTTTCAGCAATGAGGCGCGTGGCAGCCAGCAACTGGTGCTCGTCCACTGACTCCCTGCGACAGCGGTGCAGAGAGCGTTCAGATACACATGTGCGGAGAGACGGTGATGAAGGGAAGGCGGAGACGACAGACAAGTTGGAAGGACCAGTGAGGCATGGAGAAGGTGCCACAAATGAAAAGATGCAAGGGTAAAGCACGCATGACAGGCAGGAAGGCTGAATTGGGTTGCCAAGTGCTCGCATCCCGTTTCAACCTGGTCGTCCCTTCCCACCTCTTCATGCCTCCTCCCTTCTCACACCTCATCCTCCTCCATCCACTCCTTCCCCTGCATACCTGGTGTCAGCCAGGCCCCCCCAGTGGCGCAGGAAGGGCGGCGCGGAGGGCAGGGCGGAGAGCGAGGCGGCAATGAGCTTGCGGCGCGAGAAGAGCTCGTGCTGCCACGGCACGCGCGCGTCCGAGATGTTCACCTTCTTGTGCACCAGGGCGACGGAGGTCCGTGGCTCCACAGCCGCTGCAGCAGAGGAGAGGCCCTGCAGGCGGGGGGGGAGGGGCGGAGGAAAAGAAGGGTGGGATTCGGAAAGAGAGGGGGGATGGCACAGACGCGTCGGAGATGTTCACCTTTTTGTGCGCCTGGCCGATGGACGCTGGGGGTTCAGCGGCTGCTCCAGCTGAAGACAGGCCCTGCGGAGGGAGGAAGGGGAGCGAGGGGAGCGCGGGGGGAGTGGATGGTACGGGAAAGGGAGGCAGCACGTAATGAGGGCAGGACGAGTGGCGTAATGGGTCCGCGGCTGCTGCAGCGGAGGACAGGCCCTGAAGGGGGAGGGTGGGTGGGAGACGGGGAAGGGGCAGCAGTGCACACACAAGTGGGAGACGTTGCGATTTCTGTGTGCAAGGTGTGGGACGAGCGGGAGGTGCTGCTGCAACCCCATGGTGGGAGAACGGTGCAGGACGGGCACATGAAGGGCACAGGAGGGGCGCAATTGAATCATAGACCACGTGTAGAGGGTGGGAGGGGGTGGGGAATGAGCGGTGGTGCGCAATGGTGACTCACATGGAAGAGCGCACTGATGGTGGGGTCCTTGAGAGGCCGCGATGCATGCAGGTGCAACCCACTGGTCCCCTCCCCGGCCCCTGGCGCTGCACCAATGGCGCGCAGACAGATGGCGAACTCGAGGCGGTCCTGCACACTCTGGTCCAACGAGGCTAGCCACTGTGAGGGGGGGGGTGAGGGGCGATGGGCGGATGGCATGACGGGGGGTGCGAGGAGGTTCAGCAGGTAGTTTATACCAGGAAAAAGCCTGAGAAAGGGTGACGAGGAGGGCAATGAGGGGGGACGACGGACTCATACTCTTGACCTTTCTCCACCCCTTCCTTCCTTCCACCATCCCTCAGTCCCATTCTCGCTCCCGCCTGCCAAGTTCCGTCCCACAATGCTCAAGGCACAACCCCCCCCCTGCCTGCGTGCGCCCACACCCACCTGGCGAGTGCCGTCGAAGTTGAAGGGTCCCCCGGAGGAGAGCAGGAAGAGCAGGTGGAAGGGCGGGCGCGCGGAGGGCAGCAGCGCGAAGAGGCGTGACAAGAGGCGCAGCACCTGCAGCACCGCCGCTACCCCGCTCGCACTGCTGGCCGGGCCCGACGCGAGCGACTGGGGTGGGGGTAAGGTGTCGAGGGGTGGGGGTGGGAAGGGGAATGGCGGTGGGGAACGAGGGGTGCATGGGGAAGTATGAGGGGCGGAACAGCAGCGCTGCCAGGGGAGGAAGTTAATGTGAGGAAGTGAGGGGGAGGTGGCGGAGGGCATGGAAGGGATGGAAGGCTGATAGAGCACGAAGAGGGGCAGCGGACTCTTCACGAGGGACGGGAGGAGCGTGAGCAGGAGGAGCGAGAAGCGAGCAGCGGGAGGGTAGAGGAACACGAGGCGTGGGAGCGCAATGGTGAGAGGGGGCAGGGGGCTCACAGGCACGAGGCCGAAGGTGTCAAGCGGCGCCACCACCGCCACTATGGGCAGCGCCTCCCTCCTCCCGCCCTGCCCCTGCCCCTGCCCCTGCCCGTCGCCGTACAGCCATGCCTCCATGGCCGGCAGGGGCGAGGAGGCCGGCAGCTTGCGGGGCTCGCCTGCTGTCACCACCAGCTTGAAGCTGATTGGATGAGAGGAGGGGGGAAGGGGAGTGGAGGAAACGAGGGGAAGGGAGGGAAGGGGAGGAGGGGGAGGGAGGGGCGATGGAGCAGGTGCGACGGGGAGGGAAGAGAACGGCAAGAAGTGAAAGGAGAGACGTTTGACAAGTGCGGTGCAGGCATGGCCATAAGTGCATTGAGTTTACGCCGATATGGGAAACTGATAGACGGTCAGGGTGGCTTTTCTTTCCTGTGCAGCCAGACTCAGTGCTCACCCGCCATTGGTGGCCGATGCAGGCTTGCCCGCCCTGTCGTTGCTCTCCACGTCAGCCGCCAGCTTTGACAGCTCAGCATTGTCAACAGCGAAATACACAGGCACCTGCGGGTGGGAGGAGGGAGACAGGGAAAAAAAAGGAGGTGGGTGGGGGGTAAAATAGAGCTCAATTGCGCTGAAGGCAATACAGTCGGCACAAAGCCGACTACATGCGCCAGCATATCATGCTGCAGGCGGCACCCTCTCACTCACTCACTCACTCACTCACGCAAGCACTCACCGGTATGTTGGCCTCCAGCAGCCGCTCCTCTAGCTGCGCCACCACCTCCACGTGCTCCTTCATCTCCCCCGAGCCCTCTCCTGCCCTCTCCTTGCAAGCATCATCGTCCGCGTCGTCGTCCTCTCCCTGACCGCCATCTGGCCGCGAGGAGCTGAAGTGACGTGGCAGGATGAAGAGCAGCCCTCCCACCTTGCGGGATCCCGCCACCACCTCTGATGACGTGGCAGGGGAGAGAGAGTGAGCGAAGGGGAGGGGATGAGAGGAGGGGGGAATGAAGGGGACGGTGGAGGGGAGAGAGTGGCGTCGACATGAAGGGGACGGTGGAGGGGAGAGAGTGGCGTCGACATGAAGGGGACGGTGGATGGGGGAAACGGTCAAGGCAATATTGATATGTGCAAGCAGGCTCATGCCGCAGTTTGGGAAGCAGCGTCCACATGCTCGAATGTCGCATGTGGGAAAGCGCGATGCCGCGACCTCACCATCGAGGAGGGTGAAGTTGATCCGTTGGATCGGCATCACGATCACGGCGCGCATCAGATCCGCTTCCGACGCTGCTGACGTGGACAGCCCCGACGACGCGTACAGGCTGAACGACGCCTTGCGCGACCCGAACGGCGCGCCTCCCAGATCGTACTGCGGTGAGACGACACGGGACGTGGACAGGGAAGCGGGAGAGGAGGGGAGGCAAGTCAGGGAGTGAGAGAGGCATGGCTCGTGACGTCACGCGGCGCCACGTTTGCCCTGGCCTGCGGAATTTGAGCCCACACGTCCATCTGCCGTCGCTCTTTGCTAATCTCGCCCCGCCGCCACCGCCTACAAACGAGCCCTCCCTGGTCCATCGCGCGGTGCGATACCCTGAGGCGGCTTAGCCGTGAATCGCGCGTTCCTGCACTATCCACGCCGATCTAGCTTTGGAGCACCGAGACTAGGATTTTCCACCAAAAGCTTCTACGATATGCATTGCATCGTACTGCACCGCATCGCACTGAACTGCGGAAACACGCGGCTTCTCCCTTTCGGGGCCTCTCTTCTCACCCGCGCTGCATTGGGACTCCGAGTCTTACAAAGCCCTCTACCTCGCACGCTGCAGCCAAACAGATCGCACGGCTTCTGGGCTCGCAGTGATGGCCTCGAGCTTGCGGACAAGGAGCGCAAGCAACCCCCTTGGGGTCGGTTGAGCTCACATGCGTTTATTACTCTGCGCATCGGTAGATCTAGATGGTTGAGAAGCAAACTCGGATCGGAATTCAGGTCGTTCACGACACGGGCGATGGCGGATCCGACGGACCTGGATCATTCTGTAGACATCGACGACGGACGCGGCGTCGGAGAGCACGGGGAAGACCATAAGCGCGGCGATGAGCGCCACCGCCGCCTGCAGCACCACCGCCGCGCGGAGCAACGGCGCCGGGCGCGCGCGGCTGCAGCGGGAAAACGGATCCATGGCGGATCGCGGGCGAAGCTACGGGAGGCGCAAAGAAAGGCGACGCGCAGATGACGGATACGGAATGCGAGGTGCGTGGACCTGGGAGGGAGTGAGGGGAGGGGCCACAATGGCTGGCTGGATCTGTGTTGGTGAAGGTGAAACAGGGCAGCGGCAGGGAGGTGACAAACGATGATTTGGGCCCTTTGGCCCAGCCCAGCAGCGTGGTGGCGGCAAATTGGATTGAATGGATTGAGGGCGTGTTTCGACAGTCTCGGATAGTTTTTCCTGGATCAGGTTGCATCACGCGGCCCAGGAAAAATCAATTTCGAGCCTGTTTCGACTCCGCCGTGGAGGAGAATGGGTCTCCATGAATCGTCCGCACTTCTGGCAGTTGCGACCCGATCACTGTTGCCGCGCAACGTCAAAGTCAACCGACTAATTTCTTCTGCATCCCAGCGGCTGTCAACCGTCACACTCGCTTCTGCTCCTTCCTCTCCCCACAACGTGCGCGTCGTCGATAGACAACGCCGTCCGTCCACCGTAGCGCGTTTCTCCGTCCGCCGGCCGTCAGCCGTCCGATGGTCAAATGGCACGGCTTCGCTTGCGCTGCCGCCGCCGCCATTGGCCACAGCGGCATCGACGCGACGCGCAAGTACGCGTCGCAGACGCTCTCCTCCGCCGAGCTCGTGACGCTCGTCGGCATTCTCGATGCGCTCTTCCTCTCCTCCTTCATCCTCGCGTTCCGCCTCGTCACCGACCTACGCTTCGTGACGTGGAAGCTCCTGCAGATTCTCGTTGCCAGCTCAGCAGCAAAGATCCTAGCCGGCGTGATGTACCAGCGCGCGTTACACGTGGCACCGATATCCACGACCGTTCCGTTCCTCGCGTTCGTACCCGTGCTATTACTCGCGACGTCGTTTCTTCTCCTGGGTGAAGTCCCGAGCGTACAAGGCGTAGTTGGCGTCGTAGTTGTAACGGCAGGTGGTTACCTCCTGGCGTTACAGAGCAGCGCGGGCAGCGGCAGTCGCGGCCCCAGCAGATCTAGCAGCCGAGCCAGTAGCCCTCGGCATGCCGTTGCTGCTGCTAGTAGCGGAATCTCTTCTAACGAAATCGAGTCTCTTGGTGATAGAATCGGGGCCTCCGGTACAGTAAAGCTCACTGACAGCGTCGAAGCTGATGGTGAAGGTAGGATTACTCGAACTGACTCTGCCAGAGCTAGCTCACCGGCTCGGGCCGAACCGTCGTCCCCTTTAACCCCCATCCAGGCACAACCTAGGTCAATTTTGAGGGAAAATAAACCTGTTCCTTTTTCCGCACCTCCAAGCCACCGCACCGTAGCTAGACGTTTGACAGAAAACACCCAACCCGGAATAAAGAGGGAAACTGACATAACTGAGAGTCCTTCTGGTGTTGCTGCTGACCTAAGGAATAGCTCTGACTCTGCTTTTGAAATAGCTTCGGATGCAGGCATGGATTCTCCAGACCTGCGCGCTGAGGCTGACTTGGTGCTAGGATCGGACATAGCGTTGGATTTGAGCTTCGGGCAGCGAATCGATCGGGCAGTGAGTGAAAGACACTCGGGCAGCGGGTCAAGGGCAGAAGGGAGGGCAGGAAACGCGGCAGGAGAAGAGGAAAGAGAGGAGGTGACAGCTGGGGGAGGGAGGAATGCCACTTTGGCAGGCGAGAGAACAGGAGAGAGCAGACAAAGAAGTTTCACTGAAGGTTCTAGCAGCAGTGAGATCGTGGCCGGCGGTGGGTTCGGAGGTGGAAGAGGGTTCTATTCCCGAGCCTCAAGAGGCAGGTTTGGCACTGGCTTAGGAATCGGGCTAGGTTCGGCTCATCACCCCCAGGAGCATGGATCTGCCCAATCCAGCCCTGCCACGTCAGGAGGGCGAGCAATAACAAGGGGAGACGGGGCAAGAGGGGAAACAGGGGAGGTGGTGGGTGAAGGGGAGCAAGGAGGTGGGGAGGGCAAGGGGGGGAGAAGAGAGAGTGTGAGGCAGCAACAGGAGGCGACAGCACAGCAAGGAGCAACGCCGGGGTCAGCAGGAGGGGTGTGGCGAACGAGGAGTGGGAGGCGGAGAGGGGGGTGGATGGGGGCTTGGTTGCTGGTGCTGCTGCAGCAGGTGTGGGGAGCGGTGGTGGGAGGGAAGGAGGAGCGGGATGTGGAGGCGGGGAGGAGAGGGTGGGTGAAGGTGCTTGTATCGAGGACGACTCGTGTTCGCCTGCTGCTGGGCGCAGTGCTCGCCCCGTTGGGGTGAGTGAGTGAGTGAGCGAGTGAGCAAGTAGACACGGACCCATGAAAGCCTCTCTCACGCTCCCCCCTTCTTGTGCCTCTCTCACTCACATTTCCATTTCAAATATCTCTTCACTCAGTTCTTGTGCATCTCTCTCTCCTTCACTCCACTCCACCCCATTCCATGTAAATCAGAAAGAGGGCCGGCATTGCCTGGCAGTATCTGCACGGTCCGCTGAAGCGGTTACGAGTGGTGGTAACCGCATGGGCAAGGGCACCAATGCGAGTGGCAGCACGAGTGGTGCGGGTGCCGTGGGTGGGGGTGAAGGGGGCGCTGAGGTGGGTGGGCGCACAGAAGCGCCACGAGGGGCCACTGCTCATGATGGGATGCGCCGTGCTGCTCAGCTTCACCAACGGGTATGGCCCCCACCGCCCCCCTGCTCCCCCCCCCCTGCTCCCTGCTCCCTGCTCCCTGCTCCCTGCTCCCTCAGTTGCTCACCCACCATCCATTCCGCTCACCATTCACACATGTTCTTGTCCTCTGGCCATTCAATCTCCCTTCCCCTGCTGCTGCTTCCCCTTGCTGCCCCCTCCTTGGCCCCACCCACCTTGTTGCCCCTCCCTCCTGCCCCCACTGCTTCTCCCCGCAGGTGTGACAAGCTGGGGGTGCACCACTCGCCATCAGTGGTGGTGTTTGCGGGGCTGCAGCGCCTCTTCATGGCCGTGCCGCCCGTGCTCTACCTCGCCGCCACCAGGTGCGTTGCACGCACCCCAGCTACGCTACAGCTCCCCCCCAGGTACGCTACAGCTCCCCCCCAGGTACGCTACAGCTCCCCCCCAGGTGCGCTACAGCTCCCCCCCAGGTACGCTACAGCTCCCCCCCAGGTGCGCTACAGCTCCCCCCCAGGTACGCTACAGCTCCCCCCAGGTGCGCTACAGCCCCCCCCCCAGGTGCGCTACAGCTCCCCCCAGGTGCGCTACAGCTCCCCCCAGGTGCGCTACAGCTCCCCCCCAGGTACGCTACAGCTCCCCCCAGGTGCGCTACAGCCCCCCCCCCAGGTGCGCTACAGCCACCACCAAATGTGCTAAAACTGCAGCTGTGTCTGCCTCTTGCCGCCACCACATGCACTTTCACCCTCACCAAACGAGACTTGCTGCTTCCATTGCACCACATGCAACTTGCCCTCCCCTTTTTCCTCACCTCCCCTCATCCCCCCTCCTTCCCCCTTCCCCCAGACCATCCGCGTTCCCCCTGCTGCTGAAGCACTTCCCGTTGCTGGCGGGCATATCAGCGTGTGAGATCACGGCCATTGTCTTCTATCTGCAAAGCCTGCACTGGCTCCTCGTCTCCTACTCCGTTGCCGTCAGTCCCCTTCTCCCCCCCCCCCCTTCCCCACTTTCTTCTCTTCCATCCAATTCTCACTCGGCAACGAGTCAAGCTGCTGCCGCCCAACCATCCCATGTGCTGGCCAACTGCCACGCGTAACGTATCCTTGGCCTGACCACCTTGTGCTCTTTGTATGCCTCTCTGATTCCTTCTCACGGCGTGCAAATGTCCCATCATGTGACGTGTCACCCGCAGGCCAAGCGCAGCAACATTCTCATCTCCATGTTCGTCGGCTACTTCCTCTTCAAGGTAACGCTCAAGCCTCTACCTCTCTAACGTATGTTCCATCCTTTTTCAAAGTAAGTTTTTCACCACTTGTTGCGCATGGTTGCTGACATGCTGCTGTGCTGCACATCAGCTGCATGTTGTTCCACTCATCCTCCCTCCGCTTGCTCCTCCTGTGGCCCACCCCTCTGATCATTGGCATGTGTGCAGGAGAACATATGGAAGAGACTACCATACGTGCTGCTCATGATTGCTGGAATGACACTCATTATCTTTGCTGCATGAAGTGTACCTCTGCATTACGTCTCCAATCATACCTCTTGAGTTGATAAATCCCAACACTGATACGGTATGGAAGCAGCACCAGTATCACAGCGTGCCTGCCAGTATCACAGCGTGCCTGCCAGTATCACAGCGTGCCTGCCAGTATCACAGCGTGCCTGCCAGTATCACAGCGTGCCTGCCAGTATTTCTTGGCTATCCTTAAACCATTAACTCTGTCAGCGCAAACAACTTGCCTAGAGGACAACCATGGAAGCTGCAAAATTAGGCTTCTCACATACTATACAGCCTGAGATTGGCCACCTACATACAGGCACCTGTCACCTGAGTAACAGCTGGCAAATGCATTGCACGAGGAAATGGTTTCACGCCACTTTCAATTTTTTCATTCAGCTGTATTTCACCTCTGCTGTTGCTTGTCCACTTGGGTGTTGCAAGTGCCTCAAGCGCAGGTGCTGATTGTGACAACAGCACAAGGAACCTAAAAACAAGAAATGGACAATCACAAGGTCACATCACATCACACAAAATCATGATATCTAACCAGATCCTTGAGTCGCTACCCAAACACACACATTAACAATAGGATAGTCATACGAAATCTGCTCAAACAAACCCCCAGCTCTCCTCACAACCCCCTCCCAACCTTTCCCATCCACTTGCTCCCTCACCTCCCTTTTTCCCACTTCCAGCCCACCTGACAAGGCTCCTTCCATTACCAGCCTCCATCTTCTTCTCACCATTGCTGCTCCACCACCCACATGCTCTCACACACCTCTGCACCTCTCCCAACCACTGTCACTGCTGTCACACCTGCTTGTGCCACAGCTGTTCCAACTTCCCACCACAACTTCTCCTGCCAGAGCTGCTCCAACTGTTGCTGCAGTTTCTCCCGCCACAACTGCAACAGTCCATTTGCGACGCAACAACTGCTGCCGCTGCTACAAGGGAGAGCATACGGCTCTCCCCTGCTTGCCCTGCATCCACCGTGCATTGCATCAGCCTTGCACCATCCTCGCCTCATCTCCTGCTTCCACTACCGCCTCCCACCGTGCTGTCACCCCCACTCGCTCCTTCCACTCCCACCCTAACTGCAATTCACTCACTCCCACTCTTAGGCGCACTGTACCTGACTCACTCCTACTGTCACTCGCTCCCACTCTCGCACCATCTCTCACTCATTCCCACTCTTTGTTGCACCATCTCTCCATCAGTCCACTCTTACTCGCACCATCCCACCCACTTCCACTCTGCTGTTTCCCCTTTTCCCACTCTTACTCGCACTGCCTCACTCATTCCCATTCTTACTCGCATAACTCTAACTTGCACTCTTCTCACACTCATTCTCACCCACTCCCACTCTTACCGTACGCACTCTCTCTCACTAGCTCGAACTCTTACGCACCGTCTTTCACTCACCGCCGCTCTTACTTGCTCTGTCTCTCACTCACTCCCACTCTCACTCACACTGCGCCGTTCACTATCACTGTCCCTCTCCCTGGCCCTCCTGCCACTCCCACGGCTCTTCCCGTCCCTCTCCCTCTCCTGATGCCTCCCCTTACCTCCTCCGCTCCTCCTCTCCCTTCGCTCTTTCCTTCCACTTCTCCTCTCTGATTCGCTATCACTCTGATCACTCTCCCGCTTGTTCTTCCTCCCACTGTGCCTGCGCTTCTCCCTCTCCCTGCGCCTATCCCCGTCACTCTCACTCTCACTTCCCTTCCTATCTTTGCTCCTCTCCCGCTCCCGCCCACTGGCACCAGCCTTACCTCTGCTCCCTTCCTCATACCTCTCCCACTCTTAATCACGGTCTCTTACTCACTTCCGCTCTCACTCGCACTGCGCTGTTCACTATCACTCCTCTCCACGCCTCTCTTACCCCTACCACTGCTCTTCCTGTCCCTCTCCCTCTCCTCATGCCTCCTCCTCCCTCCTCCAGTCCTCTTCTCCCTTCCCTCTTTCCCTCCACTTCTCCTGTCTGATTCGCTATCACTCTTATCACTCCCACGCCTGCCCTTACCCCCACTGTATCTTCGCTTCTCCCTCTCCCTGCGCCTATCCCCGTCACTCTCACTCTCACTTCCCTTCTTCTCTTTGCCCCTCTCACGTCCCCGCTTACTAGAACCAGCCTTACCTCTGCTCCTTTCCTCATACCTCTCTCTTCCACTCCCCCTGCTGCCATCACTGCTGCCAACACTCCCTTCCCTCTCACCTCTCTCCTTCTCATACCTCCCACGAGACTGCCTCTCATGCCTCCTGCTGCTGCCCTTCCTATCAGACCTCCTGCTCACCTCCTTCCCCTCATCCCCATCACTGCCGTCCCTCTCACTCTCCACACGCCCGCTCCTCTCGCTTCCACTCTCCTCCTTCACTTTCCGCCTCGCCTTCTCTCCCGAGTGGCTGCCCCGTTTCTTCTTCTCACTGCCCCTGCCCTCCCGCTTCTTCTCATGCTTCTTTGAACTCTCCTCCTCCTCCTCCTCCTCCTCATCTCTATCTCTCTTCCTCCTGCTTTTTCTCTCGTTGCTCCTGCTCCTGCTCCTGCTTCTGCCCTTGCTCCTGCTCCTGCTCCTGCTTCTGCCCCTGCTGCTGCTCCTGCTCCTCTCCCGTTCTCCCTTCACATCCCTCCCTCCCTTCCTTCCGCCTCGCCCCCTCTCCACACGCCTGTCCCCACTCCTCCTCGCGCTCCTTCCCTCGTCGCCCTCACTGCTGCTCCCAGCTGACGTCTCCTTCTCCCTAACACGCTGCTCGCTCTCCTCACGCTCCTTCATCAACCTCCTCTTCTCCTGCTCCTCTCGGCCGCTCTCCTCCCCCCCGCTCCTACTCTCACTCTCATCCCTCTTCTTCGAAGTATCTCGTCCCTCACTCGCATCCTCAATAATCTCCTTCCCTCGCCTCTCCTCACTCGCCCTTCTCACTGCAACCGCCCCCTCCGACTCCTCACTCCTTTCACTGCTCGGACTCCTTTCTCTCTTGCCTCTTGCCTCATCGCTCATTCTCCCTTCCACATCACTCTTCCTCTCCTCTCTATCGCTCATTGCAGCACCACGGGAGCTCTCAGGGGTATCAGGCCCATAGCGGAGAGCAGCAGGCCCATAGCGGAGAGCAGTAGCCCTTTCCTTTTCCGACTCTCCTTCCTCCTCCCTTCCTCTCGCCTTCGGCGTCTCTCTCTCCTTGTCACTTTCTTCCTTCCTGCCTTTCCTCCTCCTCTCCTCATCGCTATCATCAGACTGGCTTTCAACCCTCCCTCTCTTCCGTCCCTTTCCTTCCGCATTCCTTCTCCGTCTCTCCTTCATCCTCCTATCGTCTTCATCCTCCTCCTCCGCACTCACTCTGCCATCTCCCCTCGACCTCCCACTTCCGCCTCTCACACCACCACCACTCCCCCTTTCTGAGTCTCCACTAGAATCGGATCCTTCCTCCCTACGCTTCCTCTTCTCATCCCCTCCGCTTTCTTCTCTCCCTTTCTCCTTCCTTCCCTTCTTCTCTGGAGTCTTCACCCCCTTCCCTGTGTTTCGAGACTCTTCCTCCTCACCTCCACTGCCATCCCTCACATACCTGTGTTTGCCTCTCCTCTCCTCCTCCCGATTCTTCCCCCTCTTCTCTCCATCACTCTCATCATCATCGGACACGCCTCCTCGCCCTTTCTCCATCCGCTTACCCTTCTTCCACTCGTCGTCTCTCCGATCGCCGTGCCGTGCGGCCCTACCGCTGTCCCTGTCGCCCCTATCCCGATCCCTCTGCTTTCCTTTACCCCTGCTCTTCGCTCCACCGTCGCTGTCCCCATCACTCTCCTCCCTCAGTCCTCTCTTCCTGTCATCGTCAGAATCATCCCTCTCGTTTCCTTCTCGCCTATCCCTCTTCTCATCCTTCCTCCTCGTTTCCCTACCTCCCTTTCTCCTCGCCCTCTCCACGCTGCCATCATCAGCACTGTCTCTATCCGAATCATCCCGTTCCCTCTTCCGCCTCCCATGACCCTCCTTCACGTCACCTCTGTACCTCTCCTTCCTCTCCTCCTTCCCTTCACCAAGCTCCTCGTCCTCATCACTACTCTGCCTCCTCTCCCTTCCCTTCTTCTTCTCATCCCTCCCCTCCCTCTCCTTCCTTTTCCCTCCCTCGCTTTCTCCCCCCTCCTCCCTCTCACCATCCTTACCACTTCGCTTCGTCCTCTTCCCCTCCTCCCTTTCCTCGTCAGATTCATGCCCTCTTCGCCGTTCTCGTTTCTTCTCCCTCTCACGCCTCTTCTCCTTCTTCCCTTCATCCTCCTCCTCCTCCCCTCTCCCACGCCCCTCACGCCTATGCTTGTGCTCATGCCCGTGTCGCCTTCCCCATTTCGCCTTCTCATCCGTCTCCTCCCCTTCATCCTTCTCCTCTTCCTCCTCCCTTGCACTCTCCTCGCTACCCTCCCTCCTCCGGTGCCGGCGTTTTTCATCCCTCTCTTCATCACGTCCTTTATCCCTCTTCTTCTTCTCTTTCTCCTCCCTCTCCCTCTCCTTCTCCCTCTTCCTTTCCTTCTCCCTCTCTTTTTCCCTCTCCCTCTCCCTCTCCTTCTCCCTCTCCTTTTCCCTCTCCCTCTCCCTCTCCTTCTCCCTCTCCCTCTCCCTCTCCCTCTCCTTCTCCCTCCTCTCCCTCTCCTCCTTCTCCCTCTCCCTCTCCCTCTCCCTCTCCCTCTCCTTTTCCTTCTCCCTCTCTCTCTCCTTCTCCCTTTCTATCTTCCTTTCTTTCTCTCTCTCCTTCTCTTTCTTCCTCTCCTTCTCCCTCTCCTTCTCCCTCTCCTTCTCCCTCTCCTTCTCCTTCTTCCTCTCCTTCTCCCTCTCCTTCTCCCTCTCCTTCTCCTTCTTCCTCTCCTTCTCCCTCTCCCTCTCCTTCTCTTTTTCCCTCTCCTTTTCCGCACGTCTTTCCTCTCGCTTCTCCCTGTGTCTGTGCTTGTGCGTGTGCTCCTTATCCCACCCCTCCTCGTCATCTTCCTTCTCGTCCCCATCTTCACCCCTCTTCTTCCCTCTCCTCTCCTTTTCCCTCTCCTCAGACCTCTTGCTCTTCTCCTCCTCTTCGTCCTCTCCTTGTTCTCCCTCCCTATCCGTCTCTTTCCCCAGATCCACAGCCATCCCCCCGCCTGTCTCCCCGTCCTCGCCCCTCAAATCATCCTCCCACTTCTCCCTCTCGCTCCCTTCCTTGTTCATATCTCCCCAACCGCTCCCCCCCTCATCCTCTCCGCGCTCCACTCTTTGCCTCCCCACTCCATGCTCCGCCAGAGCCTCTCCTTCGGCCCCCACTGCATTGCTGCCCAGTTCACTCTTTCTCTCAACATTCTCTTCCTTCTCTTCCTTCTCCTCCTCTACCTTCTCCTCTTCGTTCTCCTTCTCTTCCTTCTCCCTCTCCTCATCCTCGTCCTTATCTACCTCTTCCACCTCCACGCCATCCCTTTCCTCTCTCTCCGCCTCCTCCCTCTCTTTTTCACCCACCCCTTTCCCCTCTTTCTCCCCTTCTTCATCCGCCTTCTTCTCACCCTCCTCCCTCCTCTCCTCCTCTCCCTCCCCCTCCCCTCCACCCTCTCCCAACGCTCTCCCTTCTCCCCTCTCCTCCTTATCCTCTCCCTTCTCCCCACCTCCTCCTCTCTTCTCCTCCTCCTCATCATCCTCCTCTTCCCTCTCCCTCCTCCTCCTCCTCCGCCTCCGATCCCTCTTCACAGCAGCAACATCCACCTCCTGCCCCTCGTCATCGATCACCCCAGCCTCCCTCAACTCCCCCTCCAGGCTCCTCACATGCTCGCGCCACAGCTCCTCCCGCTCGTGCCGGACCAGGTCGCGGTACCGGTCCTGGTGCCGAAGCACGGACTTAGCATCGGGCCAGGAGGAGGCGAGGCGGAGCCCGTCCTCACGAGCCTCGGAGATGGCGGCCACTGACAGCTCCTCCTCCAGTAGCTCGCGGAACTCCCTCTGCACGCGCTGTTGGGGGGAGAAGAGGAGGGGGAAGGGGTGAGGGGGGGAGGGGGGGAGATGTTTTGAGTCGATTCGACGAGCAAGCCTCAGAGAAGGCTGCCACTGAGAGCTCCTCCTCTAGCAGCTCGCGGAACTCCCTTTGCACGCGCTGTTGGGGGGAGGGAAAGGAAGGGCGAACAGAGGGAACGAAGGGGGATGAGGGAGATGAAGGGAATGGGCGGGGATAGGGTGGATAGGAGGGGCGTGGGGAAACGAAGGGGGATGCGGGCAGAGAGGAGGTGGGGAGGAGAAGAGACGAAAGAAGGAAGGGCAGGGATCCCGGTGATGCATTTTGAAGGCGAAGGCCCGTGCATGGTGCGACCTGAGTGATCCTAAGTGCATGGTGCGACCTGAGTGATCCTAAGTGCATGGTGCAACCTGAGTGATCCTAAGTGCACAACAGGTCATGGCATGCACGGGAGGGAATGCACCTTGATGAGGCGGGCCATGTGCTCGTAGAAGAGGTCCTGGCGGTCGCGGCTGGTGAGCTCCTTGCTCCAATAGCACGACGCCTCGTCCTCCTCCAGCTTCTCCCGCGCATCAATCCACGATATCTGCCACCACCCAGGGGGCGGGCGGGCGGGCGAGGGAGGGGGGGAGCAGCAGTGAGCAATGAGCATGGAGGCGACAAGGCAACCAGGGGGCGGGCGGGAGCTGGGAGGGAAGACATCAAGTGGGCAGTCCAGCGGAGGGAGGGAGTAGCAGTGGGCGATCGGCACACCAAGGGAACAGCACACGCACACGCATGCGAAAGCGCAACAAGTCGATTGCTTCATGCAGAATGCTTAGAATCATCCCTTCCCCCACCAACCCCACCTTTCCTCCCTCTCTCCCCCCATTCCCCCTCCTTTCCCTCCCTCCTCCCTTCCCCCCTCCCTTCCCCCTCCCCCCTACATTGGGCGTCTGTATCTCGCGCCTCAGCAGGTCCTCAAAGTCCTCCTTGGCCTCCCGGCGCCGCACGCGCGCCCGCTCCCGCTCCTTCTTCTCCTCCTCCCGCTGCCGCAGCCTCTTCTCCTCTCGCTCCTGCTCGCGCTTCCGCTCCTGCAGCCAGCAATCACAGAAACATCACAACACAGATTCCTTCCCTTTACAGCAATCTCTTCGTTAGGACAACCGCACAAACCTCCGAGGCAAATAACAAGCTCTAGAACGAGTAGCGAGCGGCAGCAAGCACAGCAGAGTAAGGGGGCATGCCACATCCCCCCACTCCCCTCTCCCCTCTCTTCTTCCACCCACCACGCCACTCACCTCCTCCTCCCACCGCCTGCGCGCCTCCCTCTCCTTCTCCTCCTCCTCGCGCTGCAGTGTGTCCATGAATGCATCAAACAGCCGCTCGCGGTCCTCCCAGTGCTCCACCGCACTGTACCGCTCATCCTCCTTCAACTCCTCCCGCAGCTGCGAGGGGAGAGGGGAAGCGATGTCGGCGGGTGAGAGAGGAATGAGAAGCACAAGTGAGGTGGGTAGGTGGGGAACGGGGAAGGGATGATCCTTCCCACGCGCCATTGCTGCACCCTTCTCGCTGTGCTTGCTGTGCGTGGCAGACAGGGAGGAGCACGAGAGTGAGGGTCACGAGTGCGCATCACATCACAGGGGCGACTCTAGAGACGGATGATCGGAATGCAGTCAGCAGTGCAAGACTAGCGTGCTGGAGTTCGAGTTTCACAATGCCTGAGCTTCACTGCTATGCAGTAGCAGCACTAGCAGCAGCGTTTACCCAATGCGTGCAGTCAGCACAGCGACCGGGTTTTTCAGGCATCCCAGCGCGTGTGGTTGTCCTTGAACCTGCTGCACGTGCCACACATGCCATGTGCATGCCATGCCACCACGCATCCATGATACATAGTCTAGCCTAGCTTACAAACGCAGACCTCAAACCTGCTGAAAAGAGATTCTAGCATGTGATTCATTTTCCAATTGCGTTGTTTAAAAACGCTCAATGTAGGTAATTAAACCTGCTCAAGTCATATTTTTTAAGCTGACTAAATAAAAAGCGCCTCTGCATCTCAATTTTGGAATGGCCAAACATGTTTGTTCGAAAACACATGCTATGTGCAATTTGAACTGCGCTGCTGATAGATCGTTTGAAAGATCAAAACGTGAATTTATTTTATTTACTTTGTGCAGTGAAAAAGAGAGTCACCTTGGACCAGCGGGAGGAGAGGGCGATGTAGCGCTTGCCGCGGTACTCTTTCAGCATCTCCACAAATGCTTCTTCTGCCGCCTCCTTGCGCTCCTGCTGCCTCTCCTCCTCCAACCTCTTCAGCGGCACCACCCTGCCATGGTGAAAGTGCATGGCACAAACACAGACGCAGTTACAGGCACAGGCACAGACAGGCTTGGAAGGGAGGGAAGAACAAGGCGCCCTAGAAGCAACGCGTGGTTCCTTCCTAAGCCGCACAACTTTTGACTTCCAAGTATCGTGCCGTGCAAAATTCTTACGTTGCAAGAACCGTGCCGTGCCTACAGCCACACTCAAGTCAAGATGTCCTGGCCACCACAGGCAGCGGCTGATGCATCATGCACCAGACCGTGCACCAGATCATGTGCAACAGATCATGCGCAACAGATCATGCACCAGATCATGCACCAGATCAAGCACCAGATCATGCACCAGATCATGCACCAGATCATGCACCAGATCATGCACCAGATCATGCACCAGATCATGCACCAGATCATGCACCAGATCATGCACCAGATCATGCGCAACAGATCATGCACCAGATCATGCACCAGATCATGCACCAGATCATACACCAGATCGTGCACCAGATCATGCACCAGATCATGCACCAGATCATGCGCAACAGATCATGCACCAGATCATGCACCAGATCATGCACCAGATCATGCACCAGATCATGCACCAGATCATGCACCAGATCATGCACCAGATCATGCACCAGATCATGCGCAACAGATCGTGCACCAGATCATGCGCCAGATCATGCACCAGATCATGCACAAGAGATCATGCACCAGATCATGCACCAGATCATGCATCAGATCATGCACAACAGATCATGCACCAGATCATGCACAACAGATCATGCACCAGATCATGCACCAGATCATGCACCAGATCATGCACCAGATCATGCACCAGATCATGCGCAACAGATCATGCACAAGATCATGCACCAGATCATGCACCAGATCATGCACCAGATCATGCACCGGACCATGCAGCTCGCAACCTGATTTGCATGATCATCAAGAACAAGCCATTCTGCTACCAACCCGAACGAGCTGTACAATGACACAAAAGGCGTCTCAGGGAGAGCAAGTTTACACACGAGGGGCAGGTGAGAGGGAAGAGAGAGTCAGAAGGCTGTGATAGTGCCTATAACGTTATCTCTGGCTGCTGGCCTGCAGGGGGAAGGAGTATTGGCAACAGAGAATGCAGCGGGTAGACGCACAAACACCTATGGCCCCATCACATGGATTTATTTGAGGTGTCTCAAACATTTTAGTTTCCACTCATGTTGCCAAAGAGCAGTAGAGAATCAAGACTTCAAAACTGAAGAAACGATTTCATACAATCACAAAACAACAACATCACTGCTTTTCAACTATGTTGCACCTGACGCCCAGCAAGGGCAGCGTCCAGCGTCCGGACGGTCACGTCCGGACGCTGGACGCGCCAAACATGTTTGTCGCTGGACGTTCGGGAAAAATATTTTCGGGCAGCCCGGAATTTGTTTGTTTTGCTGCACGAAATTGAGTCGCGATTTCATCGCGACCAGAATCGCGATGAAATCGCCGAACGTGGGTTGCGATTTTGACCTACAAAAACGCAACCCACAGTTTTTCCCCCTCACACATTTGGTTTGGACCCATCCCCATCTAGTTCTCCCAACCAGGTCGACCCCCAACTAAACCAGAGAGCCAGATCCAGGTCGACATTAGAGAGATCTGTTTCTCTCGACATTGCCTAGCATACCTATCCCTACAATTCGCCAGTCACGCTACTTAGGCTTTGTAGTGTGAATTTAGGGTTAAGGAGATTAAGTTACAATGTCATCTCCTAGTCCCGCCGGTCAATCTGGTAGTGGCTCCACACCTTCTGCAGGTGGTGTGGAGGGAAAACGCAAGTACGACGAAATGCATCTTAACCCCCAAGTAGCCTTACTAGGCAGGTTTTTTTACCCTGCCCGGGAAAAGATTTGCCCTGCCCGGACTAGCGTCAAGAGGGCGTCCAGGGCAGAGGAATCCGGGCGTCCAGCATCTGGACGCCCCGTCCTGACGCCAGCGTAAAAAACGCTGGACGCGCCAGGCGCAACATAGCTTTTCAAAGCAAACATGGCATGCCATGACATGAATGACATGAAAGCAAAACATGGCGAACGAAAAATGCCATGAGATGGAAATCAGGATGACGGGAAGGACTTGATTCAAAGAGCTCAAATTCCTTTCTTCCCCAAAGAAAAATCATTCTTTCTTTTTCTGATGAGATGAAACGTCAAATGAAGATAACTTCCTTTCCTTGCTCATGTTCAATAAAAACTACAGTGTGTCACACATCTTGCTTTGCACAAATGGAGAGAGAGGGATTACATTACATACAATAGTTTATTTGCTTTCTTTTGAACATATTCTTCAAACCTTCCTTTCTTTTCAAGAAAGCATTCAGGACATGATTGATGATTCGAGCAAAACCAAACAACTACTTCCTGTACGAAGTAGATTTGGCTACAGAAACGAAGATGCCATGGCTCAATGACAGAAGCAACATGGAAATAAATAAAGGCAACGATGACATGGCTGTGGAGGATGTGGACGAATCTTGAGTGCACGGAAGCAAGAAAGGGAAGAGGAGGCCAGCAGGAGCAACAACAACCAACCAACCAATGCTGTCTTGAAGCAATGTTAGCTTTATCAGTTAAGTTCTTAGTGGACCACATTTTCCGAAGAGAATTCAAGCAAGCAGCATTATTCTGATCGGGTGAACCATTGGCAGTGGTGAAGACAGGCAGGAATGGCAATTCATGTGGCCCGAAACAAAAAGAGCATCACTCAGTTCACACTTCCCAGGGGGGGCATCATTACCACGCTGCATGCTCGCCTCGCCAATGAACCTTGCACCCGAGGTGCTGTGCTGTGAGTGCTCTTATCACTGCCCGACTGGCAAGTCTTGACAACGGTGCAACTTAAGCAACCATGGTTCCCAAGTTCAATTCATATGTCAAGTCTACGATATTTAATGTGCACATCAAACGGAGGGACTCGAAGCTTCTTTTCTTTCTCGATAATCAGTTGCAAGGTAGCCTATGTGTGACCTGGCTTGCCTGGAAAGCTAATTCGTTTTGGCCGTTTTGCCTGCTTAACTAGAACGCATGTAAACACTATTGCAAGTAATGGTTTGCTGAAAAGTGGGGAGACAAAACGGGCAGGAAGGAGCAAAAGTGAAAGAGGGGTCGTACCGCTCATTGAGAAGTGCGAGGCGGTCCTTGTCCTCCAGCGCTGCAGCCAGCAGGCGCGGGTCCGAGCCCCACTTGGCATCGCCGTGCAGCGTTTCCACCGTTGACTCGTGTGTCAGGTCCTGAGGGCATGAGGGCACGCATTCAGAAAGGACGGATTGGGTAAAAAAACAAAAAAGAGAGAATGAGTGGATGCACAGAACACAGCCTTTGGAATGTTCACCACAACACATCGGCCTCATAATAGGTCCCCTCAGTACCCTCCTCACTCCCCCTAGTAACCCCTCAGTCAGTCCCCCCTTCCCCCAGTTACCCAGAGTAGAAGAGACCCCTTAGCCTCGATGTGGGACTCACCCCGCTCTCCTCCATGTCGTCCAGCAGGGCTTTAAACGCCTCCACAGCCGCCTTGTGTGCCCACCGCTTCTCCTTGCGCTCCGCTGTCGCCCGCGTGCGCACAAACTCCTCAAATATGGCCCGCCGCTCTGGCAGCGAGGGGATGGCCTGCACGTGAAGCAAGGAGAGAATGTGGTGTCAAAATTCATGTGCGCACTGCTGTCGCCCGCGTGCGCACAAACTCCTCAAATATGGCCCGCCGCTCCGGCAGCGAGGGGATGGCCTGGATATAAGAACGGATATGATCAATTTGCACGCACTCGTCTAACGCATCCTCCACTGCTGCCGTGTGATTCGAAGTTCTACCAATGGCCCTTGTTTTAGGTAGAGCAGACATGTGGGCGACACAAGGCAAGCGGCAAGCGGGAGAGCAGTAAGAAGTGCAATCCGTGGCAGGGAGCATACCTTGTAGCGCGCATCGAAGATGAGTTTGGGCAGCTCCTTCTCCCACTTGGAGAATGGCGCCACTCCCTTCTCCTTCAACATCTCCTGTTGCGTTCCAACACACACAGTGGCGTCACATGCGCCATGCACAGACAGAGGAGTAACGCTGAGAGTGGTACATAACAGGCATGCACTGTGTGAATTGCTGAGACAGGCTCGCGAAACCACACGTCGCAATAAACATCTGCTCTTTGTGTGTAATCGTTCGAAGGAATAATGGCAAGGGGGAACAGAGTAACCAGGGGAGGATAAACAAACAGAGGTGTAAGGGGACAGAATCAAAGAGAGGAGACGCGAGGAGAGGAGAAAGCGAGGTAACTAAGCGAGTGCAAAGCCCAACGGTTGGTGGCTGGTTCCATTTCGTGAATGCAAAGCATAAGATGTCATGTCATGCTGCACGTGACAATGCCACCAAATGTTGCACCACTCCATGACACCCCGTCTTTCACGATGCCATGCCACGCTTCACCACACCACACCACACCACACCACACCAGACCACACCACATCGGGCCATGGCAGCACGTACACGGAACTTCATCGCCCTTTCTTCCAGACTCAGCTCTTCCAACGGAACCTCCGCCCCGCCCTTCTCCTCACTCCCCTTCTCCTCACCCTCCTTCTCCTCACCCTGCTTCTCCCCGCCGCCCTTTTCCCCGCCCTCCTTCCCCTGTGCCACCTCTCCACCGTCTTCCCTCTCCCCTCCACCATCCTCTCCCTCCTGCTTGCCTTCTTCGCCCTCCTTCTCCCCATTGACTCCCTTGACTCCGTTGACTCCGTTGACCTCCTTCCCATCCCCACCCTGTGCTCCTGCACTGCTCTTTCCAGGCTTGGTCGTCGCAGCAGCAGCAGCAGTCGGAGCAGCCACGACAGCAGCTGCTGCTGCTGCGCCCGCCTTCATCTCCTTGTCGGCGTCCTGAAGGGAGGAAGAGGGAATAGGGAATAGGGAATAGGTAAAGGTGTGTTAACTTCATAGTTATTGCTTCGCTCTCGGGTGAACTCAGGGGATAGAGGCGAGTGCAGTGACACAAGCAGCAGGAGACAGGGGATGGGAGCGGGAGCAGGGCTGGCCAAGGGAAAAGGGAGCACGGCACAACAGCAGCAACCTGAACGGACGAAGCATCTCCTGCTCGAACTAACTGCCATCTCTGCAATCTCCCCCGCCACCCGCCACTTCCCCCTTTTAAGTCCTAACATACCAACATCTCAAAGCCTCCCTTCTCCCACCCTCATCCCTTCCCTACTCCCTCCCCCCCTCAACAATCACCTGCAGCTTCTTCTTCACCACCTCCAGCGCCGTCGCCTTGCCCAATGCTGCTGCTACGCCCGCCGTCAACCCTAATCTACCACCCGCCCTCTCCCCCTCCCCCCTCCCCCCCCCCCTACCGTAATCACCTGCAGCTTCTTCTTGACCACCTCAAGCGCCGTCGCCTTGCCCCCTGCTGCTGCGCCCGCCTTGCCCGCCGCCCCCGCGCCCCCCCGCCCCGCCAGCGAGAAGGAGAGCTTGCTGGCGGCGCGCGCCCGCTCCTCCTCCTCCGCCTCGTGCCGCTTCCGCACCTCCTGCACCTCCCCGGGCACCTGCCAGCTCGTGTCCTGGCGCGCAGCAGCGGACGGTGCGGCGGGGACGAGAGAAAGAGGGGGGGAATGGGGAGGGGGGGAAACGGAAGAGAGGCGGATGCAGAGTCAAGGGGAGATGATAGGATGGCGATGGGATTGAAGGCAGAAGAAGCAGAGACGAGAGACGGCAGGGTGAGTGAAAAGCATCGCTTGGCGTGAGAGTGGTGCACAAGGGAGTGACTGGCCTGCGTGGCGGTGTTGGAGAAGTACTTGTTAAAAAAAGTGACGTTTGGAGACGTCTCAAAACTTCACTTTTACAACAAGGCAGGGCAGGGGCTGACCTGCGTGACGGTGTTGTAAAAGTACTTCTTGCCATCACTCGTCGACACCAGCGCCCAGTCCGTGCCCTGCACTCGCTCCCTGTTGCTCACATGCACGCACAGACACACACGCACGCGCACACACAAATAGAAACACGGACACGATTTCAGACACATACATGAACATGGAGAAGACCCAATAAGAGCACGAGCACAACGAGAGCGCAGTGATGCATGGCACATGCCGGTGGGTGGGTGCGTGCGGAGGACTGCGATTCACGTCGCCCACATTCCACATGACAGATACCTACTGCCAGTCTACATGCAATGCTCTCCATGCCCTCTCGCCATGCCATGCTCTCCATGCCCCTCACCATGCCATGCTATGCTATGCCATGCCATGCCATGCCATGCTCACCATGCGACGGGAGTGGGCTGCTTCTCCACCTTGTCCTCCTGCACACACGCACGCACACGCATAAGCACCCACGGGGAGACACACATGTCCACACCACACAGGCTCAAAGACAGGCAGACATGAACCAACGTGCAAAGGAGCAGAGAGCGGCAAGGCAGGCAGGAAGACAGAGCGCGGGGAGGGGGCGAAGGGGCACCTGGAGTTTGAAGCCTTTGGGTTTGTGGTAGGTGGAGCGGCCAGTGACAGTGTTGTAGTAATACACCGTGCCCTCCTCCGTCTTGTGCGCCGTCCATGCCTCCACTCCCTCCTCCGCCTGCTCCTCCTTCTTCTCTTCCTTCCCCTCCTTTATCTCCTTCCCCTCCTTTACCTCCTTTCCCTCCCCCTCTTTCTCCTTGGTTGCGTCCTCAGTCCCCTCCCCTTGCTTCCCCGCTCCTCCCTTCTCATCCACCTCTCCCCCCTCCTTGTCTCCACCACCTTCTTCCGCTCCCCCTCCTTCCTTCCCTTTCTCCTTCTCCTCCTCCCTTTCCTCCACCTTCTCCTCCCCTTTCCCCTGCGCCTCCCGGTCCCACCTCGATTTCTTCCCCCCTTTCACCCCTCCGCCTGCGCCCTTCCCCGCGCCCTTCTTTCCGCCCTTCTCCCACGGGAGCTCCTCCCCCGCGGGGAGCGGGGGGCCGCCGCCGGAGATGACAGCCGCCATGGCGGCGGCCGCCTGCAGCCACGCGGGGGGAAGGGGGGGCTGCGGCGCGAGCGGAGGGTTGGGCTTTAAGGTGATGGCGGCGGGAGGGGTGGGGGGAGCTGCAGCAGCCGGGGGAGGCGCAGGCGCAGTGGCAGCAGCGCCAGTTGCGGCGGCTGTAGCAGCAGCGGCAGCTGCCGCAGGAGCGTCAGGAGCGGCAGGCGCAGCGGCAGGTGCGCCGGGAACGGCGGCAGGGGCGGCAGCTGGTGCAGCGGACGCAGCAGCAGCAGGGGCAGGACCTCCAATCGCTGCAGTGGCTACCGCTTGCGCCTCTGCTGCTGCCGCTGCTGCTGGCGCTGCTGCTGGGGGCACACCGTTTGATATTTCCCCGGCTACTCCTCCCGCCGCTGCTGCTCCCGCGGGGAGCGGTGGAGGAGGGGGGCCGGGAGTGAGCAACGGCGGCGCTCCCCCCGGATGAAACCCCTGCTGGGCGGAAACTGGAGCCGGGGGGGCGCCGAGGGGAACGGGAGGCGCAAAAGCCGGAGGAGGCGCAAAAGCGGAAGGGGGAGCGTGAGGCAGGAGGTGGGGAGGGGCGGACCCCGGAAGCGCGGGGTACTGCGGCGCATGGGGCGCTGCTGGCCCATGCGCCATCCCCTGCGCGGGGTACGGCGGGTGGTGAGGCCCCGGCGGCATCCCCGGTCCCTGCGCGCGCATCCCTGCCGCGGGGGGTGGCGCGCCGTCCGTGACTGCCGTCACGTGCCACACGCCCGGCACCGCGCGCGCTGGCTGCTGCGGCGATTGTTGCTGCTGCGGCGGCGGCTGCGGGGCATGCGGGGGCGGCTGCTGGAAATGCTGCGGGAAATGCGGCCCTTGCTGCTGATAAGGCGGCCCCTGGTGCTGATTTGGCGGCCCCTGCTGCTGATATGGAGGCTGATGCGGCTGGTTCGGCGGCTGGTGCTGCTGATACTGCGGCGGAAACTGCTGCTGCTGCGGCGGCGGCGACTGCGGCTGGTACTGCTGCTGGTGCTGATACTGCTGCGCGTGGTGCGGCGGCGGCGGTTGTTGATGCGGCGGCCCCTGAAAGCCGCCCTGCGCATGTCCTGCCGCGTGACCTCCCCAAGGGGGCGCCCCTCCGCCTGGCGGAACTCCTTCGGGCGGGCCTGGCGGAAAGCCCCCGTGCGGGTTCTGCGGCGGGCCTCCCCCGTAGGGCGGAGGGGGTCTTGCATAAGCACCATGGGCGGATTGTTGCGGAGAAAAAGGAGAATGCGGCGGATGGGGGGGATGCAACGGACCGGGAAACCGCGGCCCAGGCGAGCCCATCCCACGTGGAAACGGCATGCCAGGTGGCACATGACCAGGAGGTCCACGTGGCGCAAACCCGAGGGAGCCCTGTCCTGAGGGTCCACGTGGCCCAGGACCAGGTGACATGTGTTCTGGAGGTCCACGTGGTCCAGGTCCGGGTGACGCCGTGCCGCACGCTCCAGGTGGTCCGTCAGGTGGTCCGTCAGGTGGGCCCCTCACAGGTGGACCCATGCCAGATGGGTCCATCCGGGGATAAGGTGTTCAGTCACAGTTAAACAATGCACGGTGTCACCAAGGCTTCAACGTAGAGAGAGGGTCGGCGAGCAATCCGGGTGGAGCGAAAAATGCATCTGAATGATCAGATCTAGTTTAAAAAAAAGATATAATATCTCGAAAGTAGGGATAAAAGTGCCGAGATAGTATGCGGAAGAAGGTGGAGGAGCGGGAATGGGAGCTAGAGAGCGAGACGAGGAGGGAATGGTGAACAAGGCGGAGGCGCGAAGGAGAACAGGGTGCACGCAGACCACGATTTCATGGAATATAGTGATGACTCTACATCACATTGACCACCTGTCAACCACAGTCCTCCAACGCAATTTTCTGTCGGACTCACGATTCTCTGGAACGCGTTCTGGAATAGAAGAAAGATGCATTACGAGGATGAATGAAGAGAGCACGAGGAGGAATTGAGGGAGGGGCAGCCGGCTGTAGCTGCGAACCGCAGTCGTCGATCGTCGTGAGTCGCACGGTGATAGTCTGCGACGCCGTCCTTTTGCCTTGCTGGCTGCTTTGCAACATTTCCTGCCAATCAACACCACCACCTTATCCTCCCCCACATGAGAACAAGAGTCAAGCCCTAAACTTCGTAAGTTGTGCATTCAAGCACAAATGTCCAACTGCCCTATCAAACATCACTATGAGCTTACACCAAGCAAAGATGTTTACTTTGATTTACAGTTCTGCATAGAACCAGATCACAGCAGCAGCAGCAGCGGCCATACTGGTAAAAGCAAACCCCGCTAACTTTATCACCCATCACGGCCTGAGCAACTACACATACCGTGGCCTAACAAATCACGGCAAATTAGAATCCCCCATGGCAAGACCCTCGATGCCACATGCAGACCTAACGTATTCCTGCATGACCCCTAGAGAGCGCATACACAACAGGTGCTTCACTCCAAGACCCCTTATGTGACACCCCTGCACACATCAGGGATGGCATGTCAAGGCATGGTGGTACAGGCACGGAACCAGCTGCTTTGAGAGGCGAGGAGTGGCTGGGGTCGCATCGCAGGTCCTCCTGTCACCTGATGACTGCCTGGTGGCCCATCTTAGCAGCGAGTGCATCAAAGTACCCCACCATCTGGTCCCTCTTGTCCAGCACCCTCTCCATCTCCCCCGCCGTCAGTGGGCCGCCCATCTCCTCCAACAGCTGCGCGCGGTTCATTCTCCTCAGGCGCGTAAGAACAAACCCTGCCACCGTCTTCAGTCTGCCGCCCGCTCCTGTGCCGCGCTTGGACCACATGGCGTGCAGGCCGGCGCCAAGCGAGGGGCCCATGGGGTGCGAGAGCACTACGGGCGAAAGCTTGCCGTCCCCGGACCAGTGCTGGGCGGCGAAGAAGCCGGAGGGGCGGCGGAGGGAGGAGCCCATGAGGGCGTCGAGGATGCGGATGCTGCTGATCACCGTGTGTGCCTGTGTGGGCGTGCGCAGGCGCTGGAGTAAGGGCGGAAGGAGAGGGGTGCGGGAAATTCGATTGAGATGGGAAGGGGAGAGTTCATTTGCACGTATACATATACATATAACAAAAACTAATGCTGACTTTGATTTGGAGCAGCAGAGTGAAGGAAGCACTGAGTGAGTGAAGAAGGAAACTTGCAAGGAGGGCAAGGGAAGGGGAAGACGAGGAGAGGAGAGGAGCGACTTGCAGAGGGGTGCAGGGACGGAGAAGGGAAGGGGAAGGACTCACGGAAGGGTGCACGGAGGCGAGCGGGTGCAGCAGGTGCGGCAGCAGCGTCATGGTGCCCTGCGCGAACCGCCGCGACCCCAGCTGCACGCCCTGCCTCACCGCCACTGGCGGCACCACGTCCACCCCCAGCACGCGCGAGAGCTGCTCGGAGGGAGGGAGAGAGGAGGGGGGAATGGGGAGGAGGAAGAGGGGAAGAGGAGGGAAAGGAAAAGATGGGGAGAATGCAAGCACAAGCCTTTAGAAGAAGTGGCGACAAGAGAAAGGAAAGGAAAGAAATGCCAAGAACGGAAGAAAGAAAGACTGACGCGCCTCAGTCTGACTTACCTTGTACGCGACCCATTCCGCCGGGGCGCGCTGGAATCGCAGCCTCGCGTCGCCGCCAACCACGGGCCGGTACAGCGCCTGCACCGTCTTCTCGCCGTCAGCCCCGTCGCCCGCCGCGAGATTGACCACGTAGAGCGGACGGAACGGCGTGGATCCGAGCTCGCGACCGGCCATCCTCCAGCTGACGATCCTGCCCGTCGATAGCAGCTCCACTAGCTCCCTCTCCTGCTCCCTCTGCTCCTGCGTCAGCACCTGATCCTCAGCCTTTTCCGGCGCAATTTGCGGTGCTACTAGGGAGGAGTCAGTCGGCTGCTGTGCTGGCGCGGGCGCCAGTGGCTGCTGCGCCGCGGACGAGACGGCTTCTGCTGCTTTCCGCTGCGCCTTTTGGTCCAACACGAGGCACGTACGCGCTATAGCGCGCGTCGCCATGGCCATAGTGCGCTCCGTGTACGCGGCACGGTCCACTAGATCCGCGGCCCGGACAGACGCCGTTACAGTCACGACCGCCGTTTGCGTTTCCTCATCGAATCGAATTGACGCGCGAGTACAAGTCAGCGCGTCCATCTGTTGCACGTCGAGCTGCTGCTCGCTTGCGGGAAATGCGGCGGGACTTTCGGAGGGAGAGAAACCAGAGAAAAGGGTGGAGAGGCTCTGGGCTGAGAAGGACGAGGGAGAGAGAGGGACCGAGGATGCATCCGACGGCGAGGATGCGTCGATGTCAATCGGAACGTCTAGATCAACGGCTGGGATGCTCCCAAGGTCGAGTTTGATCTGCTGCGAAACGAAGACTTGCTGCTCCTCCTCCACCTTACCGCCATTCGCATCGGCATCGAATTGTAAGTCGTTTTCTCTACTGTCTGATACACTATCCGTATTCCCGGCAACAACACCGGGAATGCCCGCCGCATCTCCCGCTGAAGGTGGAAAGACGGTTACCGACGTCTCAACGTCAGCGGCCCGCGTCTTAATCTTATAAAGAATGTGCTTAAGCTTCGAGAGCGTCGTGCGCGCCTGCGACTCGATGCGGTCGACGCCAGTCTCCGAGGCGCGAGGGCTCGACGGCTCGATGAGGCCCTCGTCGAATGGCTCGGGCACGGAGATGGGAGCCACGGACGGCGGGGGGAGGGAGTCGGTTTCATCTGTGGGGACCGGGAGAGATCCTTGCCGTTCGATGGTCAGCGACGACTGCGGCGACGGTTTCTCGTCGCACACGCCCAGCGAAACTTGCCGCTGGAGCGCCTTGGGCGATTGCTCAGTCGCGCCACTTGAATTAGTCACGCCGGATTTAGCCGCAGCGCGTACGGTCAACAAACGCGCTCCCTGGAATTTCCGGCGAGGAGAGGCGAGGAAGGGTCTGTGAGAGCGGGCGTGGGAGAGAGGGGCGATGCTTAAGGCTGTGTATGCGGAGAGAGAGGAGGATGAGGACAACGCGGATAGGGAGGAGGCGGAGGAGATACGGCGGAAAGGGGAGGCGGAGAGGGATGAGGCGGATGAGACGCGGCGGAACGAAGAGGCGGAGCAGCGCAGCGCGATGGTTGCCGTCCGACGCCGCAATGGGAAGCCGACACGTGGAGAGGAACGCAGTTGGCCGCCTGCACGTGGAGAGGTGAGCGCGGTGGCTCCGAGGGTAGCGCCTGCAGCGGCAGGCAGGGCGCACGAGGCTGCCATGGCGGATATAAGTTGGGCCACGGCAGTGAGAGTCGACTGCACTGACTCTTAAACTGTGCAACGGGCGCGAAGGACCTAAGGCAGAGGTGGAATGCGTGGGTTTCTTGCCTTGCTGAAAATAATCGTCTAAGAATAAAAAACAGCTTTCAGAAGTATGGGAGGGAAGTTGATGTTAGGGCGAGAAGGGAACGGAGGAGGGGGGCAGGAAAATGCGCGTGCGAGAACGGGGGGGCGAGGGGAGATGCAGAGCAGTGAAGGGAAGGAAATGAAGGGCAAGGGCGCAGCGCAGCATCCCAGAACAGCACGCGCGGGGGAAGTTGGAACTCCGGACCGGAGGGGCGGGGAGGGGGAAAGCCGCGAACGATTGCCACTTGGAGGTCTGCTTGAAATCCAGACTCGAAGCAGGGCCGGAGAGGCACGCACGACACGAGCCAAGAATTGATCCGGTGGTGGCGAGGCGACAAAGATTGCAGCCAATGAGAGCAGCGGTGCAATGCAATTGGGCGAAAGCGAGGTGAGGCGACTTACGTTCGCATATCCGTTCGTCAAATGGAAAGCGTCGCACGAAGTGGCCGGTAGATTCGCCACCCTTCGTCCTCTCGCCAGGTTCCTCCTGTCATCGTGGAAGAACTGAATGTGAGCCCAGGTTCTTGTAACGGGAAGGGAATCTGGTGGCTTGCACTCCTGGACCAGAAGAATCTTCGAGGCTGAGCTGGTTCCAACCATAAAGCCTTGCCATCTACACGTTTGACGAAACGAGAGCCGCACACAACCGTGCATGAACGTAGGGCCGATATTGGCAACAGTGGAGAGCGACAGCTGGTTGAGAAAAAAAGTTGGAAACAGGGGGAGAAAAAGCAGGCTTTGAACCTGACGTGAATCGAACACGCAACCTTCTGATCTGGAGTCAGACGCGCTACCATTGCGCCACAGATCCATGTCAAATCCATTGCTATTTTCTTGTATGAAATAAATCAACTATTTTGCTCCTGGCTTATCGGCACTGCAGCTGCTATTCATAAAAGAATGCTATGAAAATATAAGGCAAGCATTATGAACACGTACAACAGCAACTTGTGACAAAGCAACAGTCTTTCATCAATATAAGGTGTCGGCTGGTTCACCTGTGCTCCCAGTTCATAGGGATGCCCTTAACCATGACCCATCATGCTCATGGCCATCCTCTTCCTTAGCCCCCTCCACTGCAGCTCCCACTGGCTCGTTTGTCTTAGCTGCAGCACTACCTCCTGCTTCATTCGCCTTATCACCTGGTGGTGGTGCAGGCCGGTTCTTGCAATATCTGTCAAGCCAGTTGGACTGCTCAGCAAGCAAGTGTAACAGCGACTCACGCGCGCGGTAACCATGCCCCTCGTGAGGTAACAGCACCATGCGGGTGGTCACACCATGGCCCTTGAGTGCTGCAAAGAAACGTTCCGTCTGATTGGGTAACGGGTGAAGGTGTTGGGGTGAGGGCAACAAGGGTGATAAAAGAGTTGATCCAAAGGGGATGTGGAAGCCTTGATGCCACACACGCGTGAACGTGATGCGAGTTCTCAACACCATACCATGCAGCCAGCAGCCAGAACCATGTGCGTGAGCGTCCTCCATACACGTACACCCTGCAGAACATCATGCAAGCACCATACATGCCTTACCGGACAAGCCCTAACTATACATGCCCTAACCATACATGCAGTAACCACACATGCACTAACCATACATGCACTAACCATACATGCACTAACCATACATGCACTAACCATACATGCACTAACCATACATGCACTAACCATACATGCACTAACCATACATGTCCTCACCATACATTCCCTCACCATACAGATCCTTACCACCCACGTCCTGACCACCCACGCCATCCCCTTCCACCACGCTCATGCCATGGAGCCCTGACCTGCATGGGGAAGGTGCCATGGAGCCCTGACCTGCATGGGGAAGGTGCCATGGAGCCCTGACCTGCATGGGGAAGGTGCCGGTGTTGTTGTCGTCCTGGCCGTGCACGAGCAGGATGGGCGACTTGATGCGGTCCGCCGCCAGGAAGGGGCTCATTGTCATGTACACCTCGGGCACCTGCCACAGCGTGCGCTCCTCCGACTGCAGCGCGAGGGGAGCGGGGGATAAAGGGAGGATGGGGAGAGAGGGCGAAGAGGGCGGTGGAATGAAGGGGAGGAAAGAGGGAGCGGACGGGGCTCATGGCCATGTACTCCTCTGGCACCCGCCACAGCGAGGGCCGTGTGCCCCTCCGACTGCACTCAGGGGTTGCGACGGGGGGAGGTTGGGATGAAGGGACGGGGAGTGGAAGGGGAGGGGAATTGGGAAACAGGGCGAGTAAGCGGCTCATACTCATGCAATGCACTTTGCACACTCCACAGCATGCCCCGCACACAGAATGCGCACCTGGAAGGAGAAAGGCGTGAGCGTGCGGTTGTATGCCCCGCTCTGCGCTATGGCGCATGCAAACAGGTGCGGCGCGTGCGCAAGCAGGTTAGCCGCCATGAACGCGCCGTACGAGTGGCCTCCAATGGCAATCCTGTCCCGCTGCGCCACGCCACGCCCCACCACCTCATCCACCGCCGCCTCTGCACTGGACACCAGCTGCTCCACAAACCGGTCGTTTGCCTCCTCCTCGCCCTGCCCTATGATGGGCATTGATGGGCCACTCAGCACCGCGTAGCTGCACAGGAATTGAAGGGGGGGAAAGGAGGGGAGGGGTGGGAGGGGGGGGGAAGGGCATTAAATATGCAGGGAAGACGATGGCGATTCTATCCTGCTGTGCTGCTTGCAACCCCCTTGCAGGCAACCCCCTTGCATGCTGCATGGAGTGTGCAGAGAATAAGACCCCTCTGTAAGACGGCCCTCGGATGCTTTCAGCAGACGGCCGGTTGCCCAGCAGGACGCTCCCCAGGCTCAGGAATCCAATGGCCTTTAGGAACAAAGAGAAAAGGCCCTACCCTCTAGCGAGGAAGAGCAGTGGCGAGGACGCCCCGATCCCGGGGAACTGGTTGGGCGAGCCCTGCACCTGCCCCGCCGCCTCCTTGCTCTTGTACTCGCGGGGGTACGCCCAGAGCACCGTGGGCAGTGGGCCGTCTGTAGCGGGGTTGTAGCCGGGCGGCAGGAAGAGCTTGGCCGTGAGCTGCACACCGTCGGATCGCGTGTAGCGGATGATCTCCTTGGAGAGGCCGCGGAGGGATGGGTAGGGGTGCGGGAAGTTCGTCAGCTGCACCTCTGACCCGTCCGCCCACCTGGTAGGGGAGGAGGGAAAGTGTAGGGAAAGAAAGAGAGATTGAGAGAGAGGAGACATTGGAGGAAGGGCAGGAGTGTGGGGCGGAGGAGGTGGAGCAGGAACCGGCCGCAGTAACCAGAAGAACTGGCGGTGATGAGTCAGACAAAAGCATGCACCCGTGCGTGCATGTGTGTGTGTGTGTGTGTGTGTGTGTGTGTGTGTGTGTGTGTATGTGTGTGTGTGTGTGTGTGTGTGTGTGTCTTCAGCCCCACAGGCACAACAGCAGCACGCACCTCCTGACGAACGACTGGGGCGGGTCGTCCTTGGACTCGCGGGACAAAATCAGCTTGAGGTCGCTCAGGTCAATGGGTCCCTCCTCCTGGTCCCCTAGCAGCGAGTACAGAGTCTCAAAGTACTTGTCTGTATCGCTGCGCCACACACGCTCCTTCTCCCCGCTCTTCCAGTCAAACAGGTCTAGGAACGGCACGTTGCCCTCTGGGCTCGCGCCGTCCCCGGCTAGCAGCAATCGCAGCGCGCCATCTGGCATCCGAACCTGCGCCAGCACGTAGGTCCCCATGCTGGTTCGGCGCAGGAGGGGTCCGCCAGGGTCGGAGTACCGGTCCTCGTAGGACCGATCGAAGATCAGCTTCGGAAGGGGGCGCTGGTCCGGAGGAAGAGGTCCGGAAGCGCCGCCCGGGGCGATGGCCCAGGTTCGGGTTCGGCGAGTCTTGAACCAGCTCTCGTAGACCAGAGCCAGACCCTCGTCACCCCACGTGATACCTCTGATAGACGGGGCGAGGGTGGCGGGAGGGATATGGAGGGTGCTGGTGGGCGTGCATGCATGGAGACATCAGTAGAACGAGAAGAATGAAAGGGACGAACATAGGATGCTTTACAGAACCAAGAAGTAAATGGAAAACACTTCACCAGACGCTTGTCATCGCGGTGGATTGCATGCACCCACGCACGCACCCACGCACGCACCCGTAGCGCAGGTCGAGGCGGCAGAGCTCCTGGGGCTGCTGGCCGGGTGCAGGATCTGCTGGCAGTGTGTACACAATGTCCCGCGGAGACACGTCCACCTTGGCGTCGCCCCCGTCCTGCGTCTCCACCCTGGCGGAGATGACATGCCAGGGGGGCAGGTAGCAGGGGCGAGGTAGCAGGGGAGACGAGGGGGGCAGGGACGAGGCAGCAGGCAGCAGGCAGGAGACGGATGTCACGTGGGGAAGGAGTGAGGTGAATGGCAACAGAGCATGCCTGAAGAAGAACAAAGCACTCTGTTCCTCGGAAAGCAGTGAAGTGCTTGGGAGCTGCTGTTCAGAATTCTCAAATGCAAGCTCAATGAGCAACACCCAGCACTAGCGTTCGCTAGTATGTGAGGACATAGTTACACCATCCCCACCCACCAATAGAGGCAGTTGGGCACGTCCGGGCGCCAGTTGATGCTGCGGCGGCCCGTCCTGACCGAGTTGAAGGTCACTGGGATGTTGTCCGCTAGAGGTAGGTCCGCCACCAGCTGGACGAGTGAGGGGGGAACAGCGGGAGCGGAACAGTTGGCTGATGCCATGATGTCCTGCTTTCACACAACAGAAAATCACGTAAGGGAGGATTGCCCCACTTGCACACCCTTGCAACCACTCCGCCCCCTACCCCCCACCACTCGTTTCACCCCCAACAGACCTGCAGCAGGTGACCGGAGTCGCTGCGCCAGACCTCCACGCGGCGGGGGAAGCGGCCACACGGCACCTCAAAGGAGAAG